TAAGAGACAGGGTTTTTCATGTTGGCCAAGCTGGTCTCCAACTCCTGACCTCAAGTGATCTGCCCACCTCAGCCTCCCAAAATGTTAGGATTACAGACATGAGCCACTGTGCCTGGTCTGATTCTTTAACTAGAGTAATAAGTGTGTCTAATACTTCTTATGTCCTGTAGCATGTAGAGTCTGTACCACACAATTTCACATTTGTATGCTGCTTGGTATTATTTATTTTGGTTCGCATGCATGTATGTATGTTAAATTGTCATGTCATCTATTTCTTATATGTCTTTCAGTGCCCAGCACACAGGAACACTTTGACAAAGGATTAATTGGTTTGTTCTTTCCATGGAAGGATGTATGTATAATTGAACTTCATCTTTTTTTTTTTTCCAGGAGAGAAAGGCCTTGGGAAAACAACTGGGAAGAAGTTATGTTATAAAGGTTCTACGTTCCATCGTGTGGTTAAAAACTTTATGATTCAGGGTGGGGACTTCAGTGAAGGTAGAGCTAAAAGTTGTGTTCCTAAGAACTCCATCTGTCAGTTTTCAAATGATCTCACTATTACTTTTAGTTGTACATACTGTGTCAGTTACAGTATGATGTAAAATGTGGTCAGTGAATAGTTAGTTGTTGGATGAGTGAATGTTATAGATCCAAAATGTATGAAAAAGCAAGTACCACGTAAGACATTTTATCTTGTTTTTATGCAGTTTGTTTTAGTAATACTAAAGTTACTTAGTGACATTCCTTGACAATGAATGCCAAAGTACTGTCTGATTGCTTTTGTTCTAGAATGTTTTGGTGTTATTACTGTTTGAAATAAGTGGGTTGTGAAGATCGCTTTTTTGATAGTATTTATTGTAATAGGATTTGACACGTTTTAAAGATGAAGTTAATTGAGGATTCTGCAAATTTTGATTACTACAGCAATTATAACGTTCCAAGGTTTCCTTCAGAAAATTGAAGCCATCAAAAATGATTTATGTGTTAGTATATTTTTAATGTTCATTATGGCTTAATGTAGCTCATTATTTGCAGGTAATGGAAAAGGTGGAGAATCAATTTATGGTGGATATTTTAAAGGTAAGGCTTAATATTTTATGGTCTTTTGTTTCAGTTCTGATATTAAAGCAAGTTTGATCATATACTTTTAATGAGAAGAGGTTTACTTATAGTTCACTTTTTGCATGAAACTAATGCTGCATGAAAATACTTTATTTGCATGAATTTGGGGATAAATATATTGGAATATATAATTTTTAATTGACAACATTAATTAAGGCTAACTTTATGGTTAAACATGACTTTCAGCATGGAGGTTAGGCAACTATATACATGAAAACTCCTATCTTCCTGCCTAAAACTGTCAACATATTCTTTTGTTTATAGAGAATGTGGTCTTTTGCAAAATGAAAAGGTAAGAGAACAAAGTTCAGTAACACAAACTCCAATTCTGTTCCCTTGCACCCTTCCTAATAAATTTATGGACAGTCTGGGTCAGGTTGTGGCTGGATTTCTATATTGCTTGAAGACTTGGAAAATTCTGTGTATTATTTCATACATGCATCTGTATCTTTTTTCGTTTCTCAATGGGTTATTGATTTCACATCAGGGAAAAGAATCTAGTTGTGGGTTTTTTTCCCCCAAACCAAGCAATTTCTTTGAATAAAAGTTGGTATTTCCTCCTTTTTCAAAGGTTTGTATGTTTTCTTTTGTGTATATTAGAACTATGACTGTGTTTATTCTTACAATAGTAGCATCTGCATAAATCTAACTATTGCACTTGCCCCAAAAAGCCTTAGAAAAGTCAGTTGAAGAGATTTATGATGAGATCTAATAGTACTAGATTTTAACGCTATAATAGCTTCAGTGTTATAATAGTCTTTTATATTTCCTTTGGGGGAAAATGGATTACTACTGTTTTTCAGAAGCCTGTTCCCAAGGTAATCACTTTTTAAAGTTTTCTGTGTTTCTGTTTGTTCTGAAGGAGATATGTTTGTATGAATGTTAAAAGGAAATTTAAATTGGTTTTCAAGGATATTTCTGCTGGATTTAAAATAACTCTAAGTGATCTTTATCACAGATTTTTTTTCCTTTGAACTAGTAGGAAACAGCTATTTAGCTAATTCTATTATTTAGCAATTTAAAACTAATGCTCTAGGCCACTTTGTGGTTGTTCCTTGTGGCAGATACTTTTGTATCTTAAAATTGTATTTTGCTATTTAAATTTTTGTTTTCACAGGACTTTCTTCCTTAGAAAATTTTGTGATACAATTGAGTATAATCATAATTTAGATATGTTCCTGTAACTTGCTATAACATAATTATTTTTGGTCTCATAGTCTAGCTTCAATTCAGTTGAATAATAAATTTACCATATAAAAATTAAGCACCTAAGAAAATTATTAAACTTCTTCCACGTATAGTACGTTAGGCAAGCTAATTGGAAATTTGGAGGAAGTGAGCTAGAAATTTTTCTAAAATTTTACTAGTTTTCCCTGAAAGTTAATAACTTAAGTATCATTTAGCCAAAGTATGTTACTACTAAAAGTGACTGTTCTAAGGCTGTTTGTATAAAGTATTAAATATATGTTCTTTTCCCCAAGGCTTTAATTAGTATCTTTTGGCCTTTTTATGCTTTTGTTATTTGATTAGCTTAAATTTTTTTTCTGAGTATTCAGTCAAGTATCTGTACTGACCAGAAGAGGAATTTCATCCTTTGCTTTCTATTTATTACTTGAACATTACTTTAAAGTGACTTATAATTGGAGACTGACAAATTTGTGTTTTCTTCAAACAGATGAAAACTTTATTCTCAAACATGACAGAGCGTTCCTTTTGTCAATGGCAAATCGAGGGAAACATACCAATGGTTCCCAGTTTTTCATGTGAGTAGGCATAATTCAGAGATGAGCTTTTCTTAAACAGAGAAGCGCTGTTCATGAGAAAGATGGTATAGTTAAACCAAGTTAAATGCTAAAATTCTGTCAGTTTGATTTTTTACTATTAGTTTCTAATGTCTTAGTAACTTGTAAGGTCTAACAGCTGCCTCAGCATTCAGCATTTATTCTGGATTAGGAGAATGGGACTTAAAAAACTTAAACATTGTTTTAAAAATACGCCGTCATCTTCAGAAAAGATGACGGCATATTTAAGCCCCTGTTAAATCTGAGTGCTTACTTTACCAATACTATTGAACATAAACTATTGAATGTGTAAAAATTGTTCATAGGAGAGGATTCGGTTCGTGCACCCTCAGCAGGGAGAGCAATTTGAGTAAACCATGGCATGGTGGTTTTTCTCTTACTGTTGCTCTCTGAGGCAGTTTTGAGAGACATACTATTATTTTTCTCATGTTATATAGAGATAGATGACCAATTGAGCCAGCATTTTTAAAGACTCAGATTTTATGAGATCTCCATGCATAATTGAATTAATCCAATGTTGCTGTCATTTCCACCAAAATTTATGAGATTGTCACTCAGGAAACTTAAGAATACTAAATTTGCTTTTGAAAAAGCAAATATCTTTACATGTATGTGCATTGCGCAATCAAAACCTACCTTTTTCTCATCTGAAAATTCTAAATAAATCCTTTGGCATACTTTTAGTTATATTCCTTTTTTTTTTTTTTTTTTTTTTTTTTTTT